TGTATATATGTATGCATTGACATACCTATTTATCTATACATCCGTATAGTATATCAATATATATTAACTGTTATCGATGTTGAGATGATATAGATTTTTGATATACCTTAACAGATGAAATATAGATAAATGGATATATATATATATATATATGGATATATATATATATAGTTGTATATATATTCCTGTGTTCTGTAGAAAATAATCTATTACATGCCTATGTACATACAAGTTATGGATTGGGCATGAGCGATCCAAAATTCGTAAAATCGTGACAAAATAAATGATACATACCTGGTCCCCTTTACTTCTGCCAGCCAGCGACTTACTATCTTCATCTCTGCTAACCAAACTGCTCAATTGCGGTCTATAACTCAGTGCATTGTTCGCCTCCTCTTCGCTGTTTCCACCCACTTGTTCCGACATTTTTACTAGTTTATCAATCTGATACTTCAATTTACTTTCCATAGGTCTCATCTTCTCAATATATCCTCTTAATCTTACTAGTTCTTTTACTATGTCATTGCCTTTTATCGACTCTCCTTCAGCCTTCATGAGCATCAAGACAGCGGTTGATATACAATAGGACAGATTCGCGTGCAACTTAGAGTGCAAGAAGTCCATGCCTTTCTTGATATTTAATTCTCCGGCTACGACTCGTTCGGTTAGTGCGCGCACGTGATGGGTAGCCTTGTCCACTTTGCCAGTGTATTCCTGGATTAGTTTTTCACACTCTACGGTATCCTCCATGACTTGATCTAATTGCATGTCATCTTCAGACAGGTTCACACCCTTTTGATTGGTCGCCAACGGTTCAATAATTTCGACAGTTTCGTCCTTAGAAGGTCGCGCGATTAGTTTAATGGCGCTCTCATCTCCGTCAACTATCTTGGGTTTACGCACCTTTTTGCCGCTCTTCTTCCTGTATTTAACCTCCATACTTTCAGAGGAAACGGGCATACTTTGCTACAAGTTGATACCAGTGTCGCTAAAGCAAAATGCAAAATGTTGATCAACCAAATACTCTATATTTAGCAGCGAGCCGTGTGATTATTTTAGAAGTGATGGCATTTTGTGGAATAAGAATTCAAATATTATCTTTATATATTTATCCGTGATCTAACCACACGTGTTCTGTCGACTTCCCGCCAAAACATTCATATTCAGCGATGACCAACGATATTTTTTAGTCTATGGACTATGAGTCTATAATCTATGACTCTATGTATAGTTCACCCTGGCAGGAAGGCACTGTGACTGTAGAATGGTGAACAGTCACAACCATAACTTTTTTTTGAACCCACAATAAAACACGGCTGGGACGCCGCGGGGACTGAAAGTGCATAATCAGAGGGGCAATTCATTTTGTTCATATTCACGTACTGTATTTATATAGAAATATTCGTAAAATATCTGTCCTTTTTTTGAAACAAAACAAAAACAAAATTATACAAATAAATGTGGTGCCTTTCTTTCTGAAATGCGGAGGGACTCCAAAGGGTCTAAAAATGGGTCAATAGCGTCAACGACGTTTTTTGGGGACAGACAAAAAATAAATGATAAAACACGGCTGCAACGCCGCGGGGGTAAAAATCGCATACTAAGAGGGGCAATTCATTTTGTTCATAATCACGCTTGTAGAAAATATTGGTAAAATATCTGGGCCCTCTTTTTGAAAAGAAAACAAAACAAAACAAAATTATACAAACAAATGTGGAGTCTTTCTTTCTGGAATGAGTAGGGACTACATGGGGGGTCTGCAAATGGGTCAAAAAGCCTCACCGACGGTTTTTAGCGTCACCGACGGTTTTTAGCGTCACCGACGTTTTTGGGGACGGACAAAAAAATCGGTGATAAAGTCGACAGGGACTTTAGAAAAGCATACGCTTTCAGTAATAAAGTTTACAGGGACTTAGAAAAGATTACGCTTCCAGCAATAAAACACGGCTGAGACGCGGTGGGGACTGAAAACGTTTACTCAGAGGGGTAATTCATTTTGTTCATATTCACGTTTAAATATCCTAAACCCTAAAACCTCTGGGCATTTGTTTTCAAAAAACATTTACACAGACAAATGTGGAGTCTTTCTTTTTGAAATGAGGAAGGACTCCATGGGGGGGGTCTGCAAATGGGTCAAATAAGGTCAAATGAGGACGGACAAAAAATCGGTGATAAAGTCGACAAGGGCATATTAGAAAAGCTAACGCCTTCAGTGATAAATTCTAAAATTTGAAGAGTGCACTCCAAATTCTGGGAGCAATCCAAATAATGATGAATATTAAAAAAGGCATATTTGAGTGATATAGGGTCAGGTCTGAGGTCCTGCATTTACCAAAAGTACTCAAAAAAAATATCCAGCTCACTTTTTTTCAGGACAATGTGTGGAGATCAAATTGTTAAACCATCGAAGAATCCCGATTTGAGCCAATATTTAAGAAGCAATATTGTAGTGAAGTAGGGTACAGTATTCGCCTTCGGAAACCCCTGTACTTGTGGTTGCACTGGTTGCGCACAAGTATGTTTAAAAAAATGTATATATATATATATATAGGACATATAGTATTAGGTATAGTATATATAGTATATATATATATATATATATATATATATATATATATATATATATATTGTATGTTTGTGTATGTATTGCATTTGTATACATATGTATATGCATTCATATATATATATATATATATTCAAAAGTATATATGGATATATAGTCAAATGTATATATATTAGATGCGAATTGGAGAGTTTTGTAAAATTGATGACTTCCCCGACCTCTGGCAATCATGTTCATCATCTTCATGCTTGACAGCTAAGACCAGTCTGCCTGCGGCCTCCCCTTCTCCTTTCTTTGCTTTAGAATTTCAAATTTGGGTGCCCTCCAGGCGCCACATATATGCCTTTTTTCTCGAGTTGATATAAATAGTGATCTTGCTGGATGTCTGTCAAGTTCTAAATTTCAATCCTCAGGGCCTCATGGCACATTGATGGTTCCTCTGTTGTTTCTTCTGTCACGCCACGCAAATGAGCCGCATGGACATTTTAATGTTGTGTGCCAAACCCCAAAAATTTAAGCCTCTTTACGCCGACGGGCTTGAACTTCTTGACAAGGGAGACCTGGACCCCTGGCGGGGTCGCGGATCGCGAGAAAGTTGAAAATGAAAACGCAGAGCAAAAGCCAAAAATGAAACAGAACGAAATGTGTATTTATATGACTGTATGAGTGTACATATGGCGCCCACTGCGCACTCGGCACTCGGCACTCGGCACTCGGCACTCGCCGGTCACCACTGTAGCCCGAAAATAGATACTTTTTGTTCTGTTTTTTGGTTTTTTAAATAAAAAAATAGCCTTCTAAATTTTAGACAATACAACTGTTGCACACCGCACAATGCACAATGCACAATGCACATATGTTTTTTTTGTCATTCTATTTTTACGAACAAATGAAATATTGTAAGGGATGTATCTGTCCAATCGAATATTTTATCCAGTAATTCACGGTTGCTGGGAGAATACTCTACTCATTTGTCTGATGGGAAAGATAAGAATGAGAAGAAGTATATATTACATAAAGAGCATTGCTTTACACTTACTGTATCGTGGGATATTTCTACATAGAGAGACACTCTCTCTTTATTTAGAGAGAGAGAGTGAGAGAGAGCAGAGTCTAGCCCCCCCCCCCCACAGATTACTATTGTCTTTTTTTTTTTAAACTCCAAAGTCAAGAAGCTACTACACTGACTACAAATGATAATAGATGGAATTTAACTTGGAAAAAAATCATCTAGGCTATAGTGCTGCGCCGCTACTGTTTTGAAGCGGAGTTTAGACTTTAGAAAGTGATACCGCGCGTCGTTAAAAAGCATTAAAAATAGAGCTTCGTTGGTAGTGATATCCAGGATACAATTTTACTCTGAACAGAAAAATCTTGAGCAACTTCAGTTTTACTCTACTATCTTAGTTCGTCATGACAATAATCGGGTATGTTCGATATTTATGTGTCATGACATCTCGTGACTACCTGACTAGCCAATTTTTTTAAGCAGGGAAATCAGAGAGATGCCAATGTTGATATAACTTGATAAACATCGTATATTCTAATATACATTCAAGCCAGCGACTAAGCGTCTTGCAGTGCAAATTTTAGTCAATATTACCCGCTAGTGAACTACAGAGATATGGTCAATATGCGTATAGTTTTGCTATTGGCTGCGATCCTGTCATGTGCTTTTGTAAGATGTGCAAACGTTGAGAGACAGAGGTCAGTCACGTATGAAGATGACATTGCTCTAGTAGAGGAGTTCAATCAATGGTTACAAACTCGCGATACATTCGTAAATGGCACTAGCCTTGCAATACAACGAAGAGAAGCTCTCCTCCGTATAGCAAGTGAAGATCCCAAATCTAGTATACTCATGTCTGAAGATATGTATATAATTTACGAGGCGAGTATCAGCGAATTCGATGTATTACCAGATAGTATTATGGAACAATTCGAAACACCATTTGCAGGCTTGGGAACATTGAAGTTTGGCTGTTTCATCCCAGAATCTTCAGACGTATCAGGTATGTTGGCACACTGGCCAGGAAAATTCCACACTGTCCTTGAAAATTATTTATAAAATGACTCTGAGCCTATTCAGTGTCTCACACTTTTTGAGTATAAAAACTCGTGCTTGTATTGTGCACATTGTTTAGAGCCGTAAAAGGCCGATTTTTATTGAGCGACATATACCCCCATAGTATATTCGACACTGGCATGCACATCTGGCCACATACCCGACATCAGTATGCACTCTTTAATCACTTTATATTCTGCAGTGATCGTCGATAGTCGTTACATACGTGGTTGAATTGTACTCTGCCTACTACACTTTGCATACGATACATTCTGTTCTAAAACTATTATATTGTGAGCTACTAGTAAGTACAATGCAAGTTTGGGTAGTTGCGTAGCCATAAAATTCTAGAAATCATAAATATGTAGGTTTAGTGTCTATAACTACAGGCTATATTTATACACACCTTTCAAAATGCAGAAGCTCGTTTGGAATCGAATAAAAGTAAATACGAGACTCGCACGCACGAACCATAAGTTCTGTGGTTTATCAAATTACCAATGCCAACTTTATTGACCATATCGTGATCGATGCACTAACTAAAAAATTGCAGCAAGCAACCTTACTTTCAATTTAGATCGGGTACATGGACGTACGGCCCAGTTATGCGTGAATGTATATTTGGTGTATATGTGATAAACCGTGCAATGTAATAACGATACTATCTAGATACATTTACCAAAGAACTTACTAAGGTCCTCAAAAAGGTAAATAAGTACTATACTGATACACTCAAATACAATACGTAGTTTGACACTGACGAGATACATGCGTAAAAAATATGTAACATCGGAAATAAGCAATATAGTAACAAAAAATGCAGATGATTATAGTTCTACCAAACAAAGTTACTTATATTGTATTCCTTTATATATGATTGCTTATACGACTCGCATATCATACTTTATATGCCTCACTCTTTATATCCCTTGCGGGAAGATAAGTCAAATAGTCAAAAACTCTCATTGCCATCTCCATAGCTCAAGCTTAAGCATACTATTAGTGCGATTTTTCACACTCTCGTAGGAAAAGTGAAGTTCATCTACTCCGATATTTATTATAGCCGGGTTCTTGGCGTGGTGGCGATTCGGCTGTTCTCAAACCGAGCAGCACATGCCAAACAAAGAGAAGCAAATCATCGTTGTCTCAGATCATTCTTCTGTAGCACATATATCAGTTGCGAGTTTTCCCGAATCTTCTCAGTGTAGTTAAAGGCACTATATAACTATGTGTTGAGCATACCATCCGACCCAAATTAAAACTAGATGTGCATCCTAACCAGAGTGCTTTTACACTAGTGGTGTGCATGTATACACATCTACTAAGCAAAGTGATCGTGTTGATTAAAAATGAAAAGACAGGTGCAAAGATATCTCAACAGAAAACTGCGATCACAAAAGTACTAGTAAGACGTTGTGCCACCACGATAGTTCCGTGGAAAATTGTAGTACAATTTCTGCATTGTCTCCACTTTGCACATGTACCATAAGACGGTATTTGCAGTCATTCGTTCTGCGTAGCTTTGTAGCCCTCGAGCAGTATATCTCATAAATTGATTGCACATCAATTGCATCATGCAGATTACAGTATAGAAGTGGGCTCCAACTACGCCTCCCAATTGGAAGTAAAATCGGTCACCGATGGATTCTCAGCAATGTTTATAGCAAATGACGGTTCCTCTTACAAAGCACACTTGTTCGGGAGCATGGCGGAACTCATTAGGCACGGAGGAGAGATACGAGCTCAAGGCATAGTGTTTCAAGCTGAGAGAGTTGTAGCCCTGTGGGAGAACTCTGTACGTCAGAGACGCCGGATTCTCGATAGGTAAGTTATACTTTATTGGGAGATCGTGTAAGGTGATAGATTGCTCGCCATATTTTATTTTGCCACTTTCGTGCATTCACATGACGAATCACTCAGATCGAATCATGTACACCGCGCACCGTGTATCTGATTTTGAAGTCTCTGATGCTTCTTCGTATTTACCTTTAGTTTGTCTCTAATCATAGCACTAGCAGTGGTGAGTTGATTGAAGCTACCGTGGCTACAGACACAGGTGCCGTAAACCGAGTGTATGCCAATGTACACGAGCTCGAACAAGCACTGGATGAGGGTCGTCGCGAAGTCATTAAATCGGTTATCAATCGCAGAAGAAGATTCATCGTGTCGGTATGTTACCGAGCACCATACATCGCTCACAAAATTTTAGTTGTATCAAACTGAAAGGCTTGTCCTTTTTATCATGTGGTCTGTACAAGTTGTAACAGCCAGTGCACAGTGGTTTTTGTATTGTTTGAGATCTCACCATAAATTGCTGAGGTGTCTTCGCGCGATATTTTTGGTGTAGGTGGGAGTTCAAAGAAAGTATCTCGTCATTCCGATTGATTTTTCAGACCTACCAGGCTACCCAGTTGACTTCCGGGACCCGAGTATGTAACAAGCGTCAATTTCGTCGTTAGCGGTTGCTTATCGATACCCTTTTTTGTGTGGTTAGGGTTCTGAGGGTTTTGCATAACTGGGATGTATGTATGCATAGCGCTGCAGTGAAGCTATTTTCTGATGTCTCGCGATCCCATGGAGGTATTAGAATAGATTTAATCCGACCTTATTCCTGTCTTTTCTATGCAGCCTGGACCCACTTTGACACAGTAGCCCTCTTTGAAGACAAGATCGCGCCTTTCTTCGCGAAGAATTCTTACAACCAGGTAAAGCCAGCCCCAAATCCTTCTCTCAGGTGTGGCTTTAAATTCTACACTGTATTGTGTCTAGTTGCTCTACATTGGGGTCGCCACTCTGGGTGCAAGCAGTCCATGACACGTGAAGACTGTCGATTCCCGATAATTCATATCCGAATCGGCTATTGCAGGTTAAGTTTATTTCTGTGTACTTTCATCCCACGGTTACTCACTCGTACACGCTCCTACCATGTTGCAGCTCGATATCAAGTTCGACTATCTAGAAGAGCCCATTCGCATGCCGAAGACATCTGCATTCTACGAACAGGGACAAAATTACCAGTTTATCTTCGGTGACGCTGAACGTTTGAGTGGGTACGATTATAAGGAGTACGACACGTATGTAGTCCTCAATACAAAAATTGGTATGCGACGACAAATTGGGTGTCTACATATTCACGTACCACTTTCGCATTATCATGGCTTTTGAATTTATGGTCCTAAGATAGATCCGGTATGGTTTCCGATATATGAGATCGCCATAGAAAAGCAACCAATAACGTTCTACATTTTACTACGCAGGCGCTCGAGTTGGTGGTATTGGTTTGGTCGGTTCTTCGGGTGTTATCATCAATGGCGAGTTTGATATCCGCGTAATCTGTCACGAAATAGGGCACAACTACGGATCCTGGCATGCTGATGAGTGGGTACCACTTGATGTGACAAAGTAAGTATGCAACATAGCTATTTTGTTAACTTTGTTCCCATGATCTCAAGCTCTCTTACAGCTGAATGTGAAATGTACAGTACTGTTCTCTAACTGTTGATATTGCATATCCAAAGCTGTGTCTTTGCCATTCTACGTTGTTGATCACGTGCCACTATTTTCCGACGCATATTCAGTCCATGCCCTTTGTCAGAAAACTGACAACTTTTCGTCTGACGAGGATTTTATGACAGAGTGCGCATATGCCAGTCGCCCATATCTGTATTAATGCTCTCTGCTCATCGTTTCCCTATTTTGTCTCCACCCTCAGTCCTGCGGGCGATGGATACATGCTCCCCTACGGAGACCCCTACGCTGCCATGGGCTTAGCAGATACTACTGGCAACCGACACTTTTCGGCCCGTTCGAAAGAAGAATTTGGCTGGATTCCTCAAGTGGTAAGTGCCACTTATGCACAAACTCTGATTTTGTTGGTGTTTTCAATGGGTATTACAAACTTTGATTGTTCTGTCTATAAATATCTCGGAACTGAGCACATTGGGTATCGCTAATTTTGAGACGTAGGTTGTACAAAGGCAAATGTAGTTCCGGAAGGAAGGACGACTCATTAAACAACAGGTTGTACCTTTCCCACTTCCAGAACACAAGAGAAATCGGGATCAGTGGAGTATATACACTATATGCTCACGATCAAGTCGTAGACACTCCAGAGGTCGATCAAATCCTGACATTGCGCGTGCCACTATCTAATAGTAGACACACGTACAAAAACCTCAGCTACGACATCGAGCTGCGAGGGTTGGATGTATGGGGCGATTCTCAAGGACATGGTGTTTCAATACGTATGGTAATACCACCAGGTATGTCATATTCGAGAATTAGAGTGAGACTAGCGGCGATCTACTGTGACTACCACTTGTGCATTTGACTATGGTAAGCCAGACTCACACAATTGCAAACATATGCATCAAAACATGGCATTCACAATTTCGAAATAATGTCAATTTAAAAAAAATGGTTACAACACTGTGTGGCATGGTAGGTACCGAAGATGGACTGACCATGGTGGTGTGTAATGACCCGACAATCACCTCGACGGTGACGTTCTGCAGTACAAAAAACAGGGAGACAAATGGACTAGTGCTGGACATGACACCGACCACTCCATCGGCAAATAATCGTGGGAGAGTGTTTACCGGCGACGGATTACTCACTGCATCACAGAGCTTCAGTGATGTTGAATCGATGGTATGAACTTTATGCATACTACTTAAAGATATACCTCTAGATTCCAGAACACTTCTTTCTTTCTGCTCTGAAATGCAATGGGATTGCCGAGCTTATCAGAAACACACCAAAGTCTGAATTACGACCATTTCCACTCACCTTTCTATGAACACCATATTCTCATGTACTCGATCCTACTATCTCTCTTTTCAGATTCACGTGCGTATCTCTGAGCCCCGAGGCACCACACCAGCAGAAAGTGTTCGTGTTGAATTGATCTATGGCACGAACGATTGTTGGGGCCAGGGCGTATTCGAAGACGGATGGGTGAGTTTATGAATTATATTATACCCACCCAATTCTGGCTTGATATATCATCGGAACTTCGTCTATACACTTGGACGGACCTTATCCTATTGCTCAGATTCCTTTTACCTTGTTTATATATACCTCTACCCCCGCAGTGCAACTGCTACCCCGGTTACTATAGTGTAGATTGTAAATTTGAAACGGACTCTGACATTATCATCAAACTCGAAGTAGAGTTGTCAGGAGACGAAGACGCCTGGTACGGCATATTCAGCGATGCACTTGCACAGTTGGGATTTATGAACACAACATATTCCTTCACCAATAGGGTCAACAGCGCGGAAGGCAGCACACTACTACTAAAGTATGACACAAGGAAGTGCAGTTTTGGAGCTATAAAATATAAGTTCATGCTCTCGAATATTGGATTGCATTCAGATGTTACATCAGATCATTTTCGTTGCCTTCAGTATATATAAGAATCCCACTGCAAAATCACATACGAAAATACACCTAATCTACGGACAATTTACATCGCTACAGACTCGAAGACCTCGACGCCAAGCAAGAATTACGACAGGCCACCGCCGCAGGAGCACTTGAGCTAGAAGCACTCAGTATAAACTCTTTGTCAGAAGGCGACAGCACGGTATTCTGGCCACAAGCTAATGCAGGTAAGAATCGTTTTGGCAGACAGACAGTGATCAGCATAAAGGAAAATTTTACCTATCAGTTTTCCATGCACGTTTATCTTTCATAGTACAGTCTACTCTTCCCATGGCATTTAAATCAAGTATATTAACGCATCCTAATTACACTATTTTTATAGCTGGTAATAACACAGGGGATGGTAAGATATTCGGCCTTGAGCCGGTCCTTGCCTATGCACTGCTCGCCACTGGTGCGATCATCGTTGGATTGCTCTTCTTCTGCCTTATTGGCTCCCTGTGCAAGAAGAAGAGAAAGCGCGAAAAGAAGCAGAAGCTGCCTACTGTTGTAGGCGACAATGCACAGAACCCCAACACCAAAGAATACATCAAGGCCACCGCAGCTGGGGGCAGTGTGTATCCCCATCTGGCACCCAGTTCAAACCGATCTGGTGATGCAAATGCAAACTCGGGTCCATATCCGCCGCAAGTACCGCCTGAACCTGCACCAGCGGCGCAGAACATGTCCGAAGCATCGCTGTACCAGATTGGCTGGTCACCATCACCTTCGCGAGGGTCGCCGGCATCACAACGAGGGTCACCGATGATGTTCAACAGTTCTGTATTGCCACCGCATATGAGCCAACAGGCCTTATACACGCCCTCTCCGCTGTCGTCTGCACCGGAATCGCCGCAGCAGCAGCAGAGGCCCCCAAACGCTCTCAGACAGCAGAATTACAATCCCGCCTTGAATATGGCAAGCATTTCGAGTCCAAGTGCTACTAAAACGAATCAAACACGCCACGCCATGCCCAACCGACCGCCCAGGGACTCCCCAAGCATGTCAAATAGAACACCCAGAGACCACCCAAGTATGTCTCATAGACCGCCCAGAGAGTCCCCAAGCATATCTAATAGACCACCTGGAGACTCTCCGAACATGTCGTATAGACCACCTGGAGACTCTCCGATCATGTCTAGTAGTCAGCCCAGTGGCTCTCCAGGAATGTTCAATAGACCGCCTAGAGAGTCTAATAGACAATCCAGGGACTCTCCAGGCATGTCTAAGAGGTCACCTAGGGACTCTCCAAGCATGTCTATTAGACCATCCAGGGACTCGCCCAGAGGGATCGATTTACCCCCACGCTCACCTAAACCACAAGGTTCGCCAAAACCACGTGACAAGCCGCCTCAGAGTGCTTCGTCTCCTGCGCCTTTGAGATCGGCCAGAAGTCCGTATGCACAGCTGGACTGATGAGGGAAGAGTACGTCGCAAACTTATTTAAATATGTTGCTTCCAAAGCATTTGAGATACGGTACAAGTCGCCCAGAGGCAATGTATTCTTAAGTATCGGATGCAAAGCTACATACCTAACGAATAATGGAAGTGAATTGTTGAGATACACCGAGCCATACTCAAGGATTTGCCGGGTCGTCTCTGACTAAGGAATCGCCGAGTCGTACCCTTTCCCACTTCTAAATAAACTGGGATTTCTGTACTCAAAACTATTCAGTTATATCAAACTGCTGGGTTGTGCGGTATACATTGGCTAAACTGTGCCAATCTGCTGCCAACAGAATATCCAATACCAAAGAGGTTTGCGGTACGGTGAATCTCTCCATCGTAGGAACAGTTATTCCTTGTCAAATCACGGACCTGTAGAATGCTCAATACCACCGGGAACAGTGCTTTGCTTGGTCAAAACACGGACTTGTGGAATGTCAATGCCGGCGAGAAAAGAACGGGACTACTGATTCCCCACGTACATATGGAATGCTCAATACCATCAAACAACAGTTTGATGGTTTGAGCACCACAACACCACTTTCGATATACGATATCAGAATTACTGCAAGTTTGCGTTCTTATGCTGCACGTTTCAATGTAGAGGAAAATACAGCAACGAGAGTGTCGTACATTACTCTCCGTCAATATTAACACGACTACTCTTTGAACACGTTGTAGCACACTTTTTTAAACAGGTCATAAGTTTATTAATAAATGTATCTCTACAGTGACGAAAGCGAATATAAATGTGTATGTGTTGGCTTATCTACGTCAAAGTGGTGACGAACCTCCAAGAGTCGAAAGCGACTGACGAAACTAAGTATCTCATATTTAAATTCTTGC